AGCTACACCTTCTAGCTGTATTACAGAAGTGAGCGGCATATCAAACAACTAGCATACAACATTGCTTCTACCAGTGTTTGTCACTTGTTTCCTAAACTAATTAAACAATTAAAATCTATTATTGACACACTACAACAATTAACTAAATTTGCTTTCCGTTATTATGTACTTGCTCAATGGACAGTTTCGCAAGCCTGAAGGGGCTTTGACAACTTAACCTTTTCGTCTGAGGGCTATGTAGGTATTGTCCAAATTAATTCAATAGACAGTTTTGCAAGCCTGAATGGGCTCTGACTACTTAACCTTTTCGCCTAGGGGCTATGTAGTTAAAAATTCAAGTGGAGATAACAATAGGAAGAAAATAAAATATGGGATTTAAATTTTAAAAGGGTATAATTATTTATTTCCATGGATTAGATCAATCCTTAGTATTAGATTATTAAGAACAATTAAACAACGCACAACATACACAACATGAGAGTGAACGATGGAATAGAGTCACTTATATATCTTTTCTATTGCCACTGTCATCACCATCACCAATTTTTGAAACATTAATTTTTTTTCCTAATTAGTCTTTTGCACTGATGCTGATCCCGTTGCCAATTTTTGAAACATCAAAATATTTCCTAATTAGCATTTGGTACTAGCACTGATCCTGTCACCAATTTTTGAACATCAAAATATTTCCTAATTAGCATTTGGTACTAGCACACCAATTTTTTGAAACATCAAATTTTTTTCTAATTAGTATGCTATCTTATTAAATCAACCTTGTGGTGACTGTGGGGAACTGTGGAGGAAGATTTTATCATGTGACTCACTTTTCTGCTTCAGCAGATCCACTTGCTGTAACAATTCTCCCTCCTAAAATCTTCCTCACCCATTCCTCTCTACACATTCTTCTGATTATGTCTCTAATTGCAATTCCATCATTTACCTCATCAGGGTTGTTATACATGGAATATATCATCTTGGCTGTCTGATATCAATGTTGAGACAACTCTTTTTTCCCTTTCTTATAATTTTCCAATACACATCCTATTATATAATACATCTCCTTGCTCAATCCCTTCTCTCCTTTTAATTCTAATTCCATCTCCTTTTTCACCTCTTCCCACATCTCCCTCCAGCCTTCCCCTACTAACAGTTTTTTCTTTTGCTGATTTTCTCTGACTTGATCCATGGATTTAGGTCTTGATCCTGGCACTTTTTCTTTCTCCCCTTCAATCTTAATCCTGTTCATATAACAGGTGATCATAGGGAGTTTCGCATCTTTCTGAATACACCATTTCTTCTTCATAATCATTGTCAGAGTATCTGATGTTTCTTGGGGGTCTGGTGCCAGGTATTAGTATATTAGTATATACCATTCTCCCATTTGCCACAATTGTTCATACCATTCATTCTCCTCTGTTGTTCCCAAGCAAAACCAGGGGTGTCCTTCACATATGACATATTTAATGGTCCTTCTGTCATTTTCGATTTCACAGATACTATAGTCAGTATCATCAGAGTAGTTATGCCTGTTGATGGTGTATGGCAAATCTCCTTTTACTTTGTCAGCAATGATGTCACATGACTGTCAGAAATTTTCATTGGTGCTGTCATTGCTGTCACTTCCATTCCAATGTGATCCAGATTCGTTACAGCTTCCAGCAGATTCTTGCCAGATGATGGTTGGTGCATATTCTGGATTGGTGGAAGTATTTCTGGGTTCAGTACCTTGTTGATTTCCTCCATTGTCATTGACATCCAATCTATCACTTCATCCCCATTCACAGTCAGCATGGAGTTGGAGTTTGACATCATCTCCATCCTCATCCATTTGGTTATTAGATCTGTTGTTGCTACTTGAGACATAGTGTTGACTGCATTCGTTTCTAAGGTCGCTTCTGGCAGTTTCATAAGCCAGTCTATAGATTCCATCAAGTAGTTTTTGTCCAATGATTGTGGCGATCTGTTGTTCATTGGTGTTCATTAGTGATGTTGTAATGTTGTTTGTTGTTGATGTTGTTTTTCTGAGTGGTAGTGTTGTTGAAGTGTTTGCTTTAGATGGTATTGCTAACAAGACAGTTGTTCACTATGAAGTGTATCTTAAAGCGCCTTGAATGGTTGGACTTGACTCGTGTAAATTCACCGATCGTGAAAGGCCAAGATCGCATATCAATGGCTTTGTATAACTCGTATTGTCATGCATAACTATGCTTCCGCCATGAAGATCACAGTGCACTAATCCCGCATTATGAATAATTCCCAAACAGTATACGATATCTCTCAAATGTCGTGATTTATCCAACCACGTCAAATTGTTAATATTTTGACCCAAATAAGACAAAAGACTACCATTGTTAGCATATTGAATAACAATCATGTACTCTTTTGTTTCTGGATCTTGCGTCACTCCATAAATTTTAAGGAATAATGAACACCGCACTTGGCATGATTTCTGAACTATTAAATATCAATAAGTACAACGGTTAATTGAGTGTTGCTTTAATTAGTACCATTAATTGTTGCTTACCTCTGAAACAAATAATTCCGACGTCTGATCAAAATTCTTATACCGTTTTAACACAACCGTCTCCCAATCTTCAGAATACCTTTTACATTTGGCAGTATAAACTGATCTGTAGCCGCCAGACCCGATCTCTTTGAGTTCGTAAAAGTCGCTGTACTGCATGTGCTTAATAGGAGCATATAAATGTTTGTAAAGTTGTATAAACTTGTCCCATATAGTATGTATGTCGTAGTAGAAAACTAAATAATATCGCCGAGTGGATGGTTCTTGAGTAATTCCAACTATCCAAACATTATCAGGAGTCAATATCTTTGAGTATTTCAGAGTTAGCTATTTGAATATGAGTAAACAACACAATCAATAAACAATCAATAAACAATCAATGCTTAATATCAATTGTATTATTTTTACACGTAAAATAATTTACTTGATGAAAATCATAATCATGCGACCGGGCATCACTGATCTGCTTGAGTGTCACTTTTATCAATTTATTTATCGCTGGATCTAACCAATCTGTTATGTGTGTGCATGCATGGCGTAATGAGGTCATTTCTCGTACGTTCATCAATGTGGAATACTCTATCCATTGTATATACACATCATATATGGTCCTCACATTACTCCACGATTCCATAATGAATGAATCCAACGTCTTGTTACCCGTAGTCCAGTCAAAGAGGTCGTGGTGCTTTACAGTCATAACAGAATGCCTTTATCTTAAGTTCTAATCGCTGAGTACACGCCAGACATAATCCATGCCCATCCTCTTCTTGTATTAGATAATACTTTTGTTCGATTGCATGATATGTAAATCCCAAACATCCGTGCTAAGAATATCTGGATGCTTATCACATAGCTAGTGAAAATAAACATAATAAGTCAATAATCATTTAAACCATTCAGTAAACATGACGAATGAGTAAACAGTTTACCTCGGCATAATATAAATCATGTGTCTTGTCTGTTATCTTAAGTGGAATCAATTTAACCTTTGCACGAGTATAAGTAGGTAGATGATGATACAAGTTAAAGTATCCATTATCAATACAATCGAACGGAATCCACTCCAAATAGGCTTCGTTTGCTGAGTTTGTTTGTGACTGAGTCTTCTTTATAAACTCATCGAGCTGCTTATTGTTGCTAGTCCATCCATTGAATAATTGTTTATGTCCACAGATGCACCACACTGGACTACATCGGAGTAATCCACATGCGGAGCAGAATCCGTATAGAGAATAACAATGGTAAAAGCATCTATCAGCAACCATATAGTAGTTATTATTGTACTTGGTAAACCCCTCTATTAATTCGTTGCGATCTTCAAGCCAGGTGGAATATCGTCTAAAGTGACTGGTATCATTACAGCACTTGCGTGTTGAAATAGAAAGTGAGTATATTCTGGCAAACTCACAAAAGTTGATGTACAGATTTCATCATTCCCGAGTAATGAAAGCATTATCGTCATGGCCTCGGCTCTGTATTTCTCGTTATCCACCGGCGTGTAAATTGCGTAATGAACATTTTCAGTTTGAGTTGGCTTTATGTCGGTAATTTGTGAGCAAGGAATCCATTTAAGTCTTAAATCTTCATCTGAAAAAGATTGAACTAAGTTGTCAATTGCTGGATTATTTACGGTCCTTGATGCTAACGACATAATCTTATTAAAAGTTTTCTTTTCAAGCGAACGAACATCGTTAATATTGTCCAACTACAGCATTTGTGTTACCTTGCACACATACCCCTTTTTCGTTTAGTAACTTAGTAATGGCGGCCCGCCAGTGGCACAAAATTGTGTTTATCTCTACCAAATATGTTTATGCCACAAAAAAAAAGTGCGTGCATGTGACTATGGGTAGAACTTAGTTATTTTTATACGTATACTAATACAGTAATATGCCATAAAAGACTTTGGTTTTTTGAAACTCTTTACATTGTAGCGATTCCGCATTAATAATACGATATTTCATAATCTTGCAAACGTATTATATTCAAAATTGTTAATTTTCTACGATTTTATTAATCGAAATATCTTCTATCGTTATTTTTATTAACACGATTATACAAATTTGAGCATAAATGCTATAGCTATGACTTATTTAATAAAATATTAACAGATATAATCTGAAGACAAATGACAAACCATGAGAAGTTAAATGGTTTATTTAATACAGCTTTCTGAGAAGAACTGGAAAGAGTAAAAAAAAAAATGGTTTATTGGTGATAACAAAGATATTATGGGAAATAAAACGTATACCACATGTCGCATGAGTTTCCATAACGGCATACTTTATTACGAGCAGATGCGCTGCTGGGATACAGCATAAGAGATAGTACAGCAACAAAATAAATAAGTTTAGTAAAATTTTGGGAATTGCAAACGGTATCAATTTTTGTAGTAAAAATATTTCCGATTTTGTTGAGTCATGCAAATGTAACAATATGCAATTTAATAATAACAAAAAACTTGGCTGAGTTTATTGTAAAATGGAGGCGAATCGCTTGTATGGTGCTAGTTAAAATAAGTAAATTGGTATGATCTCATTTTCTAGACGTTATATAAGACAAACATATGATATGATAAGCGGTTTAATAGTACCGCGTAATTATGTTATTACAGCCAGTCGCAAGCATGGGACCCAATTTCAAGTATAGTTCTTAGATAGTTGTTAAGCTAAGAATCTGGTTCAACATGAAATTTCTAGAATACCATCGACCTTGTGATCTGCATGAGGCTTGAATACTTACATAGCGGCGTATGTTAATTTCCTATCTTGCTTAGACTGGCTGGCTAACTAGCCTATATACCCTAAACTCTTTGTGAACAATCGTTACAAGATCGTTTTTACCATATGTCACGTGGCAGAGGCGTAATTGTACCCCGCAAATGTGCGTAACACAATAAGCAAAAAATTATTCTCCCACATTCAGACTATGTCGACCGTTGAGCATATGACAATTGACGACTTGATTGCAATCAGTGATAACCTTGAAAGGATTCCTTACTCGCAAATTACCGAAATAAAATCAAGTCAAACCGATAACATACATTATGCTATTCGCAAGAAAACTTGTGACGATGGTAGTGTTGATGAAACGATGATAATGTTGTTGTTACTTGGAACTGATGAAACATGCACATCAGCTTTTATGAGCGAGTTTGCTAGAATATACTCACTTTCGACACGAGATGTCAATGACACCAGTCAATTTGTACGATATGAGAAGTGGCTCAAGAGTCGCAACGAACTTATAATTGGATTTACCGAGCATGATAATAGATATTCCATGGTTGCGAATAAAGTTTTTTACCATTGTTATTCCCGGTATGGGTTCTGTTCAGCATGTGGAATCCTTCGCTGTAGTCCAGTGTGGTGCATTTGTGGACATAAAGAGTTATCCGATGGTTGGACTAGTAACGATAAGCAACTCGACGAGTTTATTAAGAAATCGCAGATGCAAACAAAGTCAGCAAACGAAGCCTATTTGGAGTGGATTCCGTTCGATTGTATTGATAATGGAGATTATGCATATTTATATAGTCTACCTGCTCATAACGGTAAATTGATTCGGCTTAAGATAAATCACAAGGCTGATGTTGATTTTTCATATTATGACAAGGTAAAGTATTCGATTACGCATCATGATTTTTTGATCATTTAATATAACGGTATTGCTTTCCATTAGTTGTGTACCGAGCATCAAGATATGCTTGCCACGGACATTTGGGCTACCATTGGATTTACGTACAATGCCAGCGAGAAAAAATATTATTTAATTAAAGTTGAGGATGGAATATGTCTGGCATGTACATGGCGATTAAACCCTAAGATTAATGCATTCTGCTTAGAATGTAAGGCGCAAAGGCCTCTTTATTGGACTACAGGCAACAAGCGGCTGGATTTATTCATTATGGAATCATGGAAGAATACGGAGAATAAATACGATGTCTACTTACAGTGGATCGAATACAGTCTATTGTCGAACGTCCAAGAGATGGCATCTTTACGTCATGGATGCACCCATATAGCAGATTGGTTAGAAATGGCAACAAATATATCAACGAAAGTGAATCTCAAACGTATAGTTGATGGACAGAATGCGCAATCGTTTGATTTTTATCAGGTAATTATTAGCGTGTAGTAAAGCAAACGTTAAATCGATATATTTGTAACAACATTCGTTTACTCAAATAGCTGACCGAAGAATATCCAGATATATTGACTCCAGATAATATCTGGATAATTGGCATCACCCAGGAACCATCTACGCGAGAATATTATTTAGTGTTCTACCACGACGTACACGCACTATTGGATAAATTTATGCGAATTTATGAAGCGCGAACGTACATCGGAGCACGTGTACGTTTGAAATATATGCAATATGCTGACTTTGAGGAAATTAA